GTCCGCAGTCTCTGGTCATCCCTGTGCTGTCCGCAGTCTCTGATCATCCCCTGTACGGTGTCCGCAGTCTCTGGTCATCTCCTGTACTGTGTCTGCAGTCCATTAGTTCAGAATTTTCTTTTCCTGTTTTCTGCCTCTAAAACATAGGTGCGTCTTATGGTCAGGTGCGTCTTATACGGCGAAAAATACGGTAAGTAAATAGAAAATATCTTTATAAATGTTTATCTTTATAAATATTGAATGAAAATAGTATCAAAAATCACATACACATATACAAATACCCTTCTTCCACCAATAAAAAATACAATGTTGTCTTTTTTTTGTCTATTTTTATTGGTGGAAGAAGGATATATATATATATATATATATATATATATATATGAGTTTTGTATCTTCATTCAATATTTGACATTTTGGATTTACCTAAAGTATAACTAAAGGGAAACTTTCTTTTTTTTTAGTTTTTTATAGTGTAGAGAGGTATTAGAAGAGCTGTTTTTACTGCTGGTCTGTACCCTCATTAGGGAGTTTCACCCTGTCTACTTGTCCTGTTTAGCATTATCGTTGAAAGGGAGATAAAAAGAAAATCCCAAATTTTGTGTTGTACCCAGAAAAGTAATAGAGGGGACATCTTCCAAAAAAAAAAACCAAAACAAAAACTGACAGGGGTTAGAACTCTGTCCAAAATGAAAAATAAGGATTTCCTTTAGTTACACATTCAAACAACCTTTCTCAACCTTTTCAACACAGAGGGACCCTTGAAATAATTTTCCAGTATCAGGAAACCCCTGCTAAAAATTACTATATCTAATTCATGATACATTTGTGTGATGGTCTGTGTCTTCCCACTCCTTATGCTTGTGGTCATTAGGAAGGATGACCCTCTTATAGATGGCAGAAAAGATCAATGACGTCAGTGGGAATTTGTCAGTGGGAAGACATCTCTAAAAATAATTGTGAAAAAGTAAAGTAAAGTATCCCAACTACATACTACTGTAGATATATGGTCTAACATGGGATTAGACCATTGTGATGTGCATATACATTGTACTATGTCTAGAGTGATTGGGAGATTTTTTGCAGCAAATGATGTATATACTTGTGCAGTATATACACAAAAAAAATCTCTCGCGGGATGACAGGAGAAAAGTATATTTTACTACATGTAATGGGTGGATTCACTAAAGGCACATAGACTGAGCACTTAGCAAGTGAAGTTGTGCCAGAGCCTAGTAAATGAGGGGAGCTCTGCTGACTTCCATCATCCAATCATCAATCATGTTCAAGCAAAAGCGTTTTTTTTTTTCCTTACATGTGAATAGGTATGCTTTGTAAAGTAAAGCTTTACCTCATTTACTATGCTCCAGAGCTGCAAATTGCACAGTCTATGTGCCTTAAAGTAGAACTATAGGCATTACTGTATGCATTTATGTATTGCTGTAGAGAGAACTGAATTGGCTATTATATTTTTACATCACATGCCTGGACCACTACTTAATTATTGCGTGCATTTAATTATTTACTTGCAGTATTTCATGCAGTGTTTACTGAGCGTTTTGTGGTAAATACCACAAAATGGTTTAGTGAATTGACAGTTTCAGGATCGCACGCAGTATTTAGGGAAAATGTGCTCAGATACCTAAATGCCACATGTGATATGCTTTTTTGATTGGAGCCCTTTGTAACTTATTCTGTTGTTTGATTTTTTGAGAGGTTACACCAAAACTGTCCCACAATATACTTTGTTTCTTTGACACACTTGTTTTGGGATGTTGTATAATATTAAATTCTCTGAGAGACCCCTTTTTTCATACATCATTCAGATTCACTATATGATCAAAAGTTTGTGGACACCAGATAATCTCACATACTACAGTTTAACATAAACATTATGTGACACCCCCTCCTAATTATTGAGTGCAGGTGTTTCTAATGAAGGTTCTTGTTAATGTTAAAGCATACAAAGAATTATTAAACAATTGTGTGCTTCCAACCTTGTGATGACAGTTGTGATGTGACTGTGCCCAAAAGTCAGGTCCAAAATGATACGTCTTGATGAGCTTGGTGTGGAGGAACCTGAGTTGCCTTCACATAGCCTTGACCTCAACCCTATTGAAAATCTTTGGGAAATACTCAAATTCCTATTGCGTGCCAGACCTTCTCCTTCAACCTAGACCTCACCAATGCTCTTTTTACTAAATGGGCCAAATTTCCACAGATACCCTTTCCAGTGGAGCTGTTATAGCCCCAAAGTGTTGTTCAGTTGTGTATCAATGCTCCTGGTTTTGGAATGGCATGTTTAACAAACTCGTATATTGTTGGTGTAATGGTCAGATGTCCACAAACTTTTGATCACATAGTGTATGTCAGAATGATGCTTGTGTTATTTATATCTCAATAGTCTGTTGACACCCGCCAGCATCCAATCCAATCCTGTGCGCCAAATACACACAGATGGGGATCCGTTCCCCATCCATCTAGCGGATTGGATCAGATGACAGTCGGGTGGAAACGGAAAGGTGATCTGTTTTCATCCGACCATCACATAGAAATCAGTGGGCAATGTCTGTGTCTGCTCTGCAGCTGACGGATCTGCCCCATCTGAAAGGGGCTATAAAGTGTATATAAATCCAAACACTCGGACATCTATTTATAAATGTAAATTCAAAAAGTCTAGTGCCTAAATATATGCAGCTGTTTCTTCAATCAGTCAACAGGTAAGTATATTCATAGCTCAAAGACTCCAAGCCATACACCAATCAATGGGTCTAATAAAGCTTTTTCTCACTCCAACATATCCATGTCTTCCTTAAACCTCTTCACAATCTCTCCAGTGTATCCCCGAAAAAGAAAAACTCTTATAGTGCAGTATTTTTCAAACTATAAGGCCTCATGCGTGCAGATCATTTTAAAACCGCCGCACCTCTTGGCAGCAGCGTTTTGGCAGAAAAAACTCCTGACTCTTGTAAAAGTATTTAATGCCTTTTCAAGTGTCAGCTGCTTAGGTGATAATTCATTTCATTGAAATTAACGCACAAGCGCTAAACGAGGCAGGCGTCGTCAAGCGAATTCCTGCCAAAACACTGCTGCTTCTGGACGCACTGGCAGTGTTTGCTTTGTTTTTTTTACAGCTCCTAAAAGCCCCGGCCTCTAAAAGCTTCTAAAATTCTATGTGTGCATGGATACATAGGATAATATGGAGGGGTGTCTGGAAGCTGTGCAAAAAAAAAATGCCTGATGCCCCTAAAAGTGGCTGCATGAACGCCCTTTGTATATGAGGCCTAATACACTTTCAACTCGTGCTTTATCTATAAATATGTATTATACATGGTTTCAACCATGATTCACACTACTTTTTTCCAGGATTCACACATTTTTTCTGTTAAATTCAACTAGAAATATATGTGAAATATGCATGAAATAATTTAACAAAACCCATAAAGCGTACTGAAGCCCAAATGTAAATTTGTTGTTAGGTTTTACATATACTTTAAAGTGCATGTATTATAGACAACAAATGTTTTTGCAGTTTTGGGTAAGCTGGTAGGTTGTTAGAGAGCTACAGTATATAAACCTGACAGGGGTTCTGTATCCCTGCTAAGTAGATTCTCCCTCTTTATTTTCTGGTGACCTTTGTCAATGAGATAAAAAATTGATGAAAAATCCAAAATTCTAAAGCTGTCACCAAACAAGAGGTGAGGGAAATCTTCCAATCGGAACATGTTTTCCAGTAACAACAGTCTAAGATCTTCATTCACCTTCCTGTTTCATCTGCAGGGCAGGCATTGAAGGGAAATCTCTGCAATGGAACAGCCACAAATAAACTGTTAGGAATTTAACCCTTTCCAACTACCCAACACTAAAAACTTTCAGATGCACATACAATCGCTGTGTGCTGGCATTTTCTGCTGCAGTAAACACAGTAAAATTGTGATGTTCAGCTTCTGCTGGAGGGTGCATGTCCATAGGAAGTTCAGGCACAGAATCTACCGGATGTGCATAGCACAGGAAAAGAAAGCATGAACAACAACAGGGGACAGCTGTATTTTTGTAACAGACAAAATGTAATCGACTTTTATTGACAGTGTTTTCAAAATTAAGCATTCTTTGTGAGTTTAGTTCTATGTTATACAAGTTTAAGTACATGTAAACTCATCTCTCTGGCACAGCCTTAAATCTACAGGATCACAGTGAATACATTAATAAATAGCAAGAAAAACATTGACTTTTGCTGTAAAGGCCCATTCGGACCCACCTCTGCTTTCGCACATCAACATGCTGTATCTGGTCCAATGATTTGCATGGCATTAAGGCTGTCTGTTCATTCAGAATGAGCGGCCAGTACACATCAATGTAACAAAACAAAAAAAAACACAGGCCCACACCTTTCATTTAAACACAGTTAACCATTATGATTGGTTGTGGCATTCTGCACAGTGGGTTTGTTGATACTTACTGTAGTGTGCATTGGGGTGCCATTCTAAATGACCACTACACATTAGTGTGAAGGGGGCTTAAAGTAGAATTCCAGCTAAAGCTTCACTAGTCTTAAAAACCTATACTAACTAACCTATGTAAAAATGTATATATTTACCTATTTTCAGCCTGCTCTGGGCTGACCGCATGATCTCCTGTTGTCAGTCAGTGGTAGCTTCATGGGAATGGAGAGAGCACCAGACAATGGTAGGATAGCTGGGAGCAATGATGTCTTTCATAGGGTCCCATGGTATAACCATTGTTGGTGGTCCCAATCACGTGACTGGACCAGAGCTGCCTGAAAGGAGGTAAGTATACAGTACACATGTTTTTTACACAGGTTAGTTCGTATAGGAGGGGGAAAGGAGAATTTTTAATACTAGTTAAGCTTTACCTGAAATGCTAATATTATGGAATTTAAATACCTTAGCTTTGGATTCCTTCTCCCAATGTATTTCAGAATCTGTTTTAACAGTATTTTTTAAATATTATAGATTAATTAAACAACATTTCTTTTTTCCAAGGGCTTTGGTCATTCGATTTAACAGTAACGCAACTCATTCAAGAGAATGTGATTGAATCTGAAAGAGGAGTCATCAGTGGCGTCCAGAATTCCATGAATTATCTACTTGACCTTCTGCATTTTATTATGGTAATCCTAGGACCCAATCCAGAGGCTTTTGGTTTACTTGTTCTTATTTCTGTCTCCTTTGTTGCCATGGGTCACATGATGTATTTTCGATTTGCTTTTAAAAATCTAGGAAAACAGCTGTTTTCCTGTTCTAACACTGAACCAAAAACAGATTCAGGTGAACAACAAAGGGAAACCTCTGTTGTTTGAGTGAGCTTTACGTATGTGTGGTACCCTTTAGGGCTAAGCTACTGTGGTTGTTTTTGACCATGCATTTGTGCCATCATTGTGTGAAATCACTGGCAGTCAGCTGTGGAATTTAAAAACTATGGAAATAAATCAGGCTTTAGACATAGGAATGTTTTGTCTCTAAAATTGATTTCCCACAGTTTCAAGGTCACATGACAGCTTTTCTTGCTGGTGATGACAATCATCCTGTAAACAAATAGCATTGTGCTGGTGTTCAGTACATCATCTCAGTGGGGGAGCAGTAAAAGGACTTTAACATGCAGCACTGCATGGAAGACAATATTAATACCACGGCAGGACTGGAAACATCAAAATACTGCTAGGATGAGCTGCAACTAGGTGCCCCAACATTGCAATTTAGTTGCCCGTCTGGGATTAATCACCGAATGAGGAGGTCATTGAGTTTATGTCCCATCCAGTGAGATTTATCTCTTTGCCATTACCCTACAGTCTCTTGTATTTTTTACAAGATGGTTGCCTATAAAAACATTTGCCTGCAAGAAATGCTGTTGTCTGACTTCACTCATAGAAATAGGAAAGAAGTATAATTTACACAAGTACTAAGTAGGAAGTTGGAGCATTAAAAAAGTTGTCATAAGAAAGAAAGGAATGACCCTCTTGAGGGCAAACCTACTCAATTATAACCATATCAGTCCTTCAAACAATTGTTTGAAATTAATGAATTTATGATTGATCATTTATAGTTATATTTATGGTCAACATACGTTGGTGAAACCATGCAATCAAAATCACCCATGTAGTGAAAGCCCCAGTAAGTTAGTGAGTAGCTGTGCTTTGTATCTAACAATAGTGTTTTCTGTAGTAGCTATAGAATAGACATTGTAAGCAGTACTGATAGATGTTGAATGAGAGGATTTAATTATGAAACCTTTCTAGAGTAGCATTAGCGACACCTTGATGGTGTTAAAAAGACATTTAGAATATTTGATAATTTTTTTCTATAGGAATTTAAATACTGGTTTTGTCAAAATATTCAGCAACAGTTAAAACAAACAGGAAAGGTTTTTAAAACAAAAACATTTAGTAAAGCATCAAATGTACCTAAACACCAAATGGAATGTAAACGTATGCTTTCAAATATGTAATAGTGTTTTACAGCATCACCTCCTTCCCTAGTTCTTTATTTGTTCCCAAATTTTACTAAGCTGTTGTTACTTTATTCTTTTAAAATACTGTATTCGTGATAAAGCATTCCCTTTAAATACAAATTTAAAGGTTCTATACTTTTGGATAATAGAAACCGTGCCTATACTTTTGTTTTTATTATATGTCATAGTTTGATTTTGCTTTGATCTGTTAGCTGGTGCCCTAAGCAATATTTGTTACCAAATAAACAATGCAGCCATCAATGACACCAGCATATGGGAATCATATCACTATGTACAACATGACCACTTACTCTATTTCTGATTTCTCCTTTTTTTCTGCTATAGTAGTTAATCTGCTATGGACCTTGCTGTCATGTGTATTGTTTATGCTTTGTAGCAGAATATCTTAATCTACGAGGTAAGATCATTGCTTGCAATGGAGGAGGAGTGTGTCCTTTCTCTGTGTCATTGAGATCTACAGAGCACTGTCAGTACAGCAGCTGTGAGGAAGAAACTTCCAGGAGTTGTAAAGAGCAACACCTGCTGGCTACAAGTGGTAAATATTTAGGAGCCTGGAAAGCAGCCACCATAAATAAACATAATTAGCAGAATACTTGGAGTGTGATGTCATTTTTCGTGGTAAAGAGCAGCCCAGAATTGTATGCACCTAATACTTGACAGTAACAAGTAGTTGCCTGGAGAGGTGCACCATTGATGTGGGAAATTTAAAGTGATACTAAACCCAGGACCCTGCATTCACTATATCAGGTCTCCCACAGTACACACAACATGGAAATGCAATTATTTTAGTAAATATAAACTGCTAAATACCTTTTCTCATCAGCAGTTAGAGCAGTCTTGTGACTTCAGCAGAGCACTGGTTAAAGGAGGAGTTCTCTTTCTACTCTTGGAGGATGTGAAACCTCTGACCCTCTGTCTGGATAGTGCAGATTGGCCGAGTGCTGATCACATGCACTCTCCCAAGGAAAAAAAAAACCTCTCTAGCAATACACACCAAACTGAGCATGTGCAGAAGGGCTATGGGTTCAGTCTGTATTAGGTGGTCATTTCAACAGGAGGAGGGGCAGAGAAGACAAGATCAAACAGCCTTTTTACACAATGCAGTGGAATTATCCCTTAAGTTCCACAGTGAGTATCATAAGCATGCTTTACTGCATATACACACACGGATCTTACTGTTGTGGGTTTAGTAACACTTTAAGTCTAAAGCACACAATGTCTGTTTGAAAACAATGTGCTATATGCAGCAAAGGTGATAATTTCCCTTATCTGAGGGATAATCTATAAATGTAAGTTATAATATAGAGTGCAACAAGAATATAAAATACAATTGTCAAAATATGTACTCAAGATACAAAAAGTTATCAAACTAGTATCTGACATCATATGAAGAGCAAACAAAATGACAGTGCAAATTCTGCAGATACTTTATACGTTTATCTTGGCCTTGCTCCTTTTGCCTCCGAAGCCTCCCTATTACAGTTCTTCTAGTAAAAATGGATGGCCTCCGTAACCAGTTAGTACAATCAGGATGTGAAAGAGAAGAGACAAAGCTTGATTATTATAGGAAAGGTTGAAATGCACATATGATTTTAGCTGCCTATATCTCTAGATCTACAGATATGAGGTTTTTACCAACAGTAATATCTGCTTTTTAATTTTTTGTATCATATGCTCAGTTTGATTTGCAAGGGTTTGCTGTACTGCTGAATTAAATTGCTTTTGTCTTATTACAGCTGGTTAAAGTGCACCCTGTGGTAAAAATGCAAGGTCTGCCTAATGTACTGCATGTGGGCCTCCATCCCATGATCTTTAGCCTCTTTAAGCAGTAGAAAAAAAAATATTAAATATAGTCATGTGATAAAGTAAGTACATTCCATGGATAATGTTCCAGATTTTGAACACGCAAACAATAGATTTTCATTCAAACATTGCTCACAGATAAAGAAGGTAACTTGAATAAAAACACAAGGAAAAGCTGTGTTTTATATAATTTTATCAACAAAAATATCAATAGATGTAAAGGCATACAGTGGATTGTGCTTTCCTTGCATAAACTGTTCCTCTCTTATACCCTCACAAGATTTCAGCGGGAATTAAATCACAACACAGCCCTCAATTTCTTCTTTTTTTAACCTATTCAATACTGGGCACTTTTACCCCCTTTCTGCCCAGGCCAATATTCAGCTTTCAGTGCTGTTGCACTTTGAATGACAATTGCGCATGTTTATGATTTTTTTGAAACAGAGTTTTCTTTTCATGGTATTTAATCACCACTGGATTTGTTATGTTTTGCTTAACAAACAAAAAAAGACTGAAAAATGTGGAAAAACTGCACTAATAGGCACTGATGAGGAGGCACTGATGGGCACTGATAGGCGGCACTGATGAGGCAGCACTTTTTCTCCTTCACTGATGTGCACTGATGATTTTTCTCCCTTCACTGATTACGGTGCACTGATGGGCACTGATGAGACGGCACTGATGGTTGGCACTAATGAGGGGTCACTGATAGGCAGCACTGATAATCAGGGCACTGATGTGTGAATTGCCAGCTCTCCTCTCCCCATACTGTGACAGCGCATGAGGAAAGGACTACCGATAACCAGCAAGTTTGTTTACAATGTGATCAGCTGTGATTGTACAAAGCCGATCACATGGGACAACCCTCCAAATCATTAAATTCAGGTGTTCCAATCACCTCCACGGCCACAGGTGTATAAAATCAAGCACCTAGGCAGGCAGACTGCTTCTACAAACATTTGTGAAAGAAAAGGTCGCTCTCAGGAGCTCAGTAAATTCAAGCATGCTACCATGAACGGGTTTCCATGGCTGAGCAGCTGCATCCAAGCCTTACATCACCAAGTGCAATGCAAAGCGTCGGATGCAGTGGTGTGGTAGAGCACACTGCCAATGGACTCTAGAGCAGTGTAGGCATGTTCTCTGGAGTGATGAATCACGCTTCTCTGTCCAGCAATTCGATGGGCGTGTCTGGGTTTGGAAGTTGCCAGGAGAACGGTATTTTCCTGACTGCATTAATCCAAGTGTAAAGTTTGGTGGAGGGGGATTTATGGTGTGGGGTTGTTTTTCAGGGGTTTAGCTTGGCCCCTTAATTCCAGTGAAGGGAACTTTTAAGGCGTTAGCATACCAAGACATTTTGGATAATTGCTCCCAACTTTGTGGGAACAGTTTGAGGATGGTCCTTCCTGTTCCAACATGACTGCGCACCAGAGCACAAGGTAAGATCCATAAAGACATAGATGAGCGAGTTTGGGCTGGAGGAACTTGACTGGCCTGCATAGAGTCCTGACCTCAACCCTATAGAACACCTTTGGGATGAATTAGAGTGGAGACTGTGAGCCAGGCCTTCTCGTCCAACATCAGTGCCTGACCTCACAAATGTGCTTCTGGAAGAATGGTCAAACATTCCCATAGACACACTCCTAAACCTTGTGGACAGCCTTCCCAGAAGTGTTGAAGCTGTTATAGCTGCAGAGGGTGATCCAACTCAATATTGAACCCTACGGACTAAGACTGGGATTCCATTAAAGTTCATGTGCGTGAAAAGGCAGGCGTCCCAATACTTTTGGCAATATAGTGTATGTTCAAGGGCAAAGTGCAGTCTTGCTCTAATATTCTTTTTAAACAGCAAAGGCTTTTTTTCTGGTACACTTCCCATGCAGGTAAATTAGTGCAATCTCCTTCATGCATGCAGATACATAGTGATTACTAGAGGAAACTAGACTGTTCACTTTGCAAGGGAAGTTGCACTTTGCAAATAAATTTGCCCTAGAGCAGTGGTTCTCAACCTTTCTAATGCCACGACCCCTT